CCTATGCTCCTCATTTTCTCAGTGCGGGTCCGAAAAGGTTTCTCGATATTCAATTTCGTCTTCTACGTGAAGACATGTTGCGTCCATTACGCGATGGTCTTTACAACTTTGTGGCAGGTTTAAGCGACAACGAACAGCAAATGGCGAAGCTAATAAATAAAAGCGGAAGATTCAAATATGACAAAGGGAAGATTAACGGAGACTTGAACGTTTATTCAAATGTCAGATTTAAAAATATTAAAGTGGACAAAAATAGAGGATTTTCGGTTCGAGTGGGATTCAAACCACCGAAAGCTGGAAAGTCCAATAAGCAAAGGAAAATATATTGGGAAAGGTCGAAAAAGTTGCTGAATGGAAGTTTAATTTGTGTATTATGGGCTCCTAACCTTGACGAGGATAAGAGTGTCAAGAATTCAACGAATGGTTATACTCTTTATTTTGGAGGTGAGTATATGTCAAACAAATATAAAGAAGAGTTAATCCGTTAGTATTAACCTCTTGTCTGGTCACCCTCACACATACTAGTTATTACTGATAGACAAGAAAACTCACTAGCAGCAAATGAAAATGAAGCGACAATCGGCGTCCATTTTATGGATACTTCAATCTATCCGATTGTTCTGGAAGATATAAACCGTACGCCAGACGTGAGATCTAAAACTCCCGATAGATTTATGGTAGAATCTACGGGTGTCTATTTTGAATCGTATGTACACATATTGAAGGCTCTCCAAGACCTCAACCCAGGGGCACTACCGTTTTCTCGACATCTTGCACCAGTTACAGAAGAAGATTTGTCGGCTGACATCGAGCCGCCATTATATGCACGTGCACCAGGTTTCAGATTTGATCTGTCGATTTTACTTGGCAAGAATGAAAATTTTATGCTAGATCCGACGGACGAGCTTTCGCAGGACCGAGCCATAAAAAAATTAACTGAAGCAAATGTACTGGATAGAAGTCAGGCTGAAGCATTGGTTTGCTCCTTGTGCAGAGAAGTTGCATTAATTGAAGGTAGAGTATTAATGAGCATCTAACTGATGGAATCAACTGTTGACACATAACTATTGTTGATCTGCAATGTTTTTCGTGCTTTTCTAGGTCCACCTGGCACCGGAAAGGTTGGATCGGATCGGCATCTCGTATTTAGGATTGTTGTCATTATCTTTATGTATTCTAACACTTGATTTTTATTAACATTGTTAACGAAGACATATGTTGGGGTAGAGTTGATGAAAGTGCTATTGGATAGCAAAAATCGGAAAAGGGCGGCTATTGGACCAGTGCTGACTATTTGTAAGTACTATTTCCCAATATTTAATCTACGCTTTTCTCCTTATTGAGTTTTCTTTATACTGTGACAGGCTTTACCAATCATGCTCTGGATCAGTTCCTTGAGCATCTTCTGCATGCCGGCATAAAAAAGATTGTTCGTTTAGGAAGCCGATCAAAGTCAGAAGAAATCAAACCGTTTGCTCTGGAGGAGCAATGTCGCAATCAAGGCAAGACGGTTGAACAGAGGTTAGCTATAGGAATATACGACATATTATTATTATTGAATTCATTTCACATAATGATAATTTATTTCATCTTCATAAAGCCGCATGTTGCGTGCGGCATACAAGGAATTAGACCGGTTGTCCGCCGAAGCAAAAGAGTTGACGGGGCAATTGTCCCGAAAGACAATAAACTGGAATGCAAGTATTTTCTTAATAATTTGACTGTTGTTTACGTATTGGGTGTGCATTACACCGAGTCTAACTAACCCATATTTATTTGATAGGAAGCAGCATTATTCCTTTTAACAAACTATCCTTCGATTTATGAACAATTGTGTGAGGACCATGCGGATGCGAATAATGAGGAGGACGAGTTCGAAGGTGAATGGGAGACCGTCAGTGGTGGAAGGGGCCATGAGGATCGATTTTCTCAATGGGTTCATGGTTCCGATCTCAAGCAAATTATGAACGACTTACGGAACAAGGAAAAAGGAAAACAAAAACAAAGGGAGCCGCAACTTTTATCAACCCACAATCAATATGACTACTTGCAGGATATGGAAGAAATGCAAGATCAAGAAACGAAATTAATTTATGGAGAAGATGCAAATCAGGAAATTCATAAAGATCTTATGCCTGCGGAAAGAATAAACGAAGAAGATGCAAATCAGGAAATTCATAAAGATCTTATGCCTGCGGAAAGAATAAACGAAGAAGATGCAAATCAGGAAATTCATAAAGATCTTATGCCTGCAGAAAGAATAAACGACGATGGTATTCAAGTTTGGAAACAGCAGGATTTGGAAATCCCTAAAACGGATAGAGACTTGGAGATTCTGCTTCAAGAGCAGAATGTATGGAAAATGAGTATGAATGAGAGAATAAAATTACATAATCATTGGAGAGAACTTATTCACAAAGACGTTATACAGCGGTTGGCGGATTTAGAAAAAAAGTACACTGAAAAAAGAAAGGAAATTGATGGTAAGTCAACGTGTAGCATTGAAACAACGTCATCAAAGCTGTACAAACTTTAGTTCCTTTATTTATATGTCGGATGCTGTCAAAGCTCTAATGTTCTTTTTTTATTCCAGATATTCGTGATGGAGTTCGTAAAAAAATACTGTCATCAACTCATGTTATTGGTATGACAACTAATGGGGCGGCGAAATTTCAATCATTAATACGTTCAGTAGGTCCACGTATTATTGTATGCGAAGAAGCAGGCGAAGTTTTAGAGGCTCACATTCTTGCGCCTTTGAAAGAAACGCAACACCTCATTCTCATCGGAGATCATTTGCAGCTAAGACCACACATTACAACATATGAACTCAGTCTAGACTCTAATGTCGGTAAAAAGTTTGCACTTGATCGATCGATGTTCGAACGTTTGGTCAATGACAAAAAACCAATGGTCCAACTATTGACCCAACGGCGAATGCGCAGTGAGATAGCTGATCTAGTGAGAGAGACTCTGTATCCTAATCTTATAGATCATGCATGTACAGCAGCATATCCTCGTGTGCGTGGAACCACGCATAATTTATTTTTATTCGATCACAAAAATCCAGAAGATGCTGCTGGCAGTAATCAGTTTGCCGTACAATCGCACTCAAGCTCATTTGAAGTAAAGATGGTTGTTGAAATGGTCAAATATTTTGTTAGAAATGGCTACGATAAAAACGGTGATGTTGCCGTATTAACACCTTATTTAGGCCAGATGATTCAAATAAGAGATGCGTTGAGTCAACAATTCGTAGTCGTCATTGATGAAAGAGATGGTGAACAAATAGCTATGATGACTGAGGACAACGAAAGTAAAGAGGATGAATCATCGTCCGTGTCAATAGCCGTGGCGTCAAACAAATCACTAGCTAAACAAGTAACCTTACGTACCATTGACAACTTTCAAGGCGAAGAAGCCACGATAGTTATTATATCTCTTGTCAGGAATGTGAATCAAGCCAATGGCAGTGGTTCTATAGGCTTTTTGAAATCTGAGAATCGTACGAATGTATTGTTATCCCGTGCAAAACACGGGATGTTTCTACTAGGAAATGCTAATCTCCTGGCTGAGAGAGCGCAGCAGGATAAGACAACAATGTGGCCTACCGTAATCGACATACTCAGGGAAAAGGGACAACTAGGCAATGCTTTCCCATTACAATGCAATCGGCATCCCAATACTCTCAGCTTTGTCGAGAGACCTGAACAGTTTTCAGAATTTGCTCCCGACGGTGGATGTCAAGAGCCATGTGGTTTTACGCTGAAATGCGGCCACGTATGCCAATACAAGTGCCATTCTGATGATCCGGATCATCTTGGTATCAAGTGTGGGAAACCATGTCAGAGATTACACGAACCATGTCAACATACTTGTCCCAAGCTATGTGGGGATACATGTGGAAATTGTGTCATGACAATAAATAATGTCGGATTACCATGCGGGCATGTAAAAAACAAGGCTCCATGTTACCAAACACATGATCCAACAGAAATCAAATGTAATGAGCTTATTGATTGTATTCTTCCCCGGTGTGGTCATGAGCAAAAGAGGCATTGCTTTGAAGCGACAAAAGACGTTCTATGCACTCAACAATGTGGAATTCTGTTACCTTGTGGTCATTTTTGCTTGTCAAATTGCGAAGATTGTCAGCGCAGGTCTATTCGTGCATCATCTGCGGAAGAGGCTTTATTGGATGGAGAAAGTCATGTGATAAGGTCTAGTCACGCGCCCTGCAAGCAGATGTGTGAACGCAATTTATACTGCGAACATCGATGCGAGAGTAAATGCCACGAGGGAAAACCATGTCTTCCGTGCTCTAAAAAATGTATGATTAAGTGCAAACACTCTACATGCAGTAAAAAATGCTCTGAACCATGCAATGTCTGTGCAGAACCATGCTATTGGCAGTGCGAACATCAGAAAAAGTGTTTGTTAAGTTGTGGATCTCCTTGCATTCGTTTGCC